CCCTAATTAAAGAAAAATATAAAGACATTATTTCCTCTTATTCTTTATTTCTTTCCATTTTATTAGATATAGAGTCTGTTTAGATACAAGTTCGAAAATGTAATGATCCATCATGATTGTTACATTTCGTGGAATCACCAACAAGCTACGAAACTACATACATGCTTAAGATTTTATACTCATTGTACATGGATATGCACACTAAGACATGTATATAAATATAAGTGTAATTAAGAATAACTCTATAAATGTATATAGTATATATATAGTCATATAATATAAAGCAATATAAAATCTTAAGTGACGGTCAAATACTATTATACAAACCATAAAAAATAGTTAAAGACAAGACTGCATTGCCAAAATAGCCCTACAACATCTCCATGAAACCCACTCCGACTAACCTTATCCTGCTCCTATGAAAAGTCATGATCATCGCAGTTTAAACCGCATGGAAAACACGTAAGAATAAGGTAGATTTCAAAAATATATTAGTATAGGAATAAAACATCTATACTACTCACCCACATATAAACCATCCATAAATACCTCAAGACATACAATAATCACCAACTTAATCCGTTTGAAAGCAATACACAAAGTAATTCAAACATTCACCACCATCATACCATACAACAAGGTAATCATCAAGTACATATGAACAACGATTAACTCAACCCACTTCACATGTACACACGTCATAACTAATGCATCATCACACATTTACCTACATAGATCTCCTACCACACCAGAGCAATCTAAGTGATTTGACCCTACTGAACCAATCCAATCGTTTTCATGCCTAAATGCACCCACTCGATCACAGCTAAAATGGGATACTAATCCCTAACCTTTGATTTCTTGGGTGTCGTTACTTACACTAGGAAAGTCTGGTTTCACTATCCACAATAGTATAATTGGGAATAGGCGTATCTCAACCTTGGCATGCATTACCAAGTCACATGTGGAGTTAGCCCACTAACTATTTACAAGGAACCACACAACCTTTCTAGTAATTAGTTAAGGGTTGTTGCTCTCGATTTCATACTTTACTCCATGTTGACTAAGGACCTAGAGGAGACTTGACAAAATCCACTCCAAGAGTTTCATAGCCAATCAAGGAGGGTTTTCAACAATTGACCTCCCAGAGTGCCAAAACAAGATTCCCTATATGAGATCTTCACTTTCTAAACAACATCATCTCCTCTAGTCCTAAGTCAATTAACATGCTTTGATGCCTGCAACATTCTTAGCATCAATACATCAACATACATCTTCTATATACATTATCCTAGGTCAATGCATATAGAGATAAAATCACACTAATCATGTATAGCATACCAATGCTCTACACCTCAACCATGCAATTTATAACACATCAATCATACATAACATATCAATGCCTATACACCACTCAAACCATGCAAACTTTAGCACATTCATCAGACATAACATATCAATTCTAGACAACTTGATTATAATAGCATATCAATGTTTGTCATTATCATCATCATCATATATCATACAACATATATTAACATATAACTTACCAAGATCCACTATAGTACAAAGACAACATTCACACAACTCAACATAATTGGAGTTTCACTAATCTAATCAAACTCATCTTTATCTCATATGAAAGATAAGAAGGTTATCTACAACCCTCATGAAGATCTCAAGTTCTAACTTCATCATCTACTATAGTGAAAATAACAAAAACCGCAACAATTAGCCTAAATGTTGACAGCTTGACCTTTGCTCACTAAAAATGTCATAATTGGAGTTCTAGACATCTTTTTTAGGTGATTCCAAAGCTATTAGAAAGCTAACATTTACAGTTACAACTTTTATGAAGACAACAAAATCTAATTTGAGAAGTACAAAATCACTTAGCTGTTTCAAAATTGCTTAACAGATTCCTTCTAGAAACACACTTGATTCTTATCTGCAATTCCGCTCAGCCACTTCAAAACTATTCAGTGAATTCCTTCTAGAAAGACACTTGATTCTTATCTACAATTCCGTTTAGTTGTTTCAAAATGCCTTAGCCATTTCATGATAGATACCATCTTCATTTTTTGTGATTTTGGGATTTTCAAACCTCTCCTTCCATCCCAAGCTTTTTGCAAGCTCCAATCTCAATTTTAAACCATAAAAACTCATTTAAACAACTAGAATGCATCAATTTCCAACAACAAAACAACTTATAATAAGAATTTGGGTGAAAAATCAAGGTTCCCCCAAAAATCCCAAATACCACAAAAATCCCCAAGAAACTAAGAACACTAAGTCTCCTTGCAAATCAATTTAACATTCAAACAATTATTCATCAATGAACATTCATAGAAGAAGAAGAAGAAGAGAGTTAGTTTTGCAAAATATGGGAAAATTCCCTATTTATTTCCAATAAAAAACTCTCAAAAAACACTTTTAAAATATTAAATTGAAAACTAAAAAGAATTAGACTAAATTATATTTTTAGTTTATTGTCTTTTGTTCAAATTGACACTAATGATGTTAACGATTAGATAAAAGAGCAAAATTGAACATTTTTATGAAAATTAAAGGGCTAAATTACATATTTTAAAAATAGTGGGAACAAATTGAATAATTTAAAAATAGTGAGGTCAAATTGAATAAATATCTAACATTTTTTGTTGTTTAGATAAATTAATTTTTTTTTACGATTATGAATAACAACAAATTGAATACTTAAAATTTAAAAAAAAATCACGATAACAACAAATTGAATACTTAAAATTCAAAAAAATCACGAAATGAAAGAGTTATTTAATAAAATAAATTATTAAATAGATAAAAAAATTTACATTTATCTAGACAAAAGAATATTAAATAAATTTTTATTTAATTTATTTTTTTTATTTATGAAATACTCAATTTAATTTTTTTATTTTTAAATGATAAAAAATTGATTTTTAATTTTAAAATAATGTTGAATATTATCTTTTTTATAATTTTATTAAAGATGTTAGTGTTGCACCAAAAAAATATAATTAAATATTTTTTAAAAATTTAAAAACTAAGTTAAACTATTTAAAAGTAGCGAAACTAAATTGAATTTAAAAATAAATAGCGAGAAAAAAGTATAATTTTGGAAGAAAAAAGTAAGTTAAACTTGTCTGAATTGGGTTGGGTTAAATAATAAATTGAGTCCCGCTCTGTCTCTCTCTTCACGTCTACGACACACGCACCCACCACCACCGTATCTTCATTCATTTCACTTCCCCCAAAACAATTATTTAAAAAAAAGAAAAACAAAAAAATAAAGAAAAATTCTCTCTCTTTTTCTCACTCTATCTGTTCCCTTCTCTCTCTCCTTCCATGGTGGAAGAACACAGACGCAGCGTCGCCGGAAGAAGAGAGAAGATCGAAGCACAGAGGCAAGAGGATCGCCAAAGCTAGGGTTTCCGAATTGCCGAGTCGCTGAAAAATGCCGCTCTCGAAGTACAGCGTCAGGAATGAGTACAGCTTGGCGGATCCCGAGCTGTACCGCGCCGCCGACAAGGACGATCCCGAGGCGCTTCTCGAAGCCGTCGCCATGGCCGGTCTCGTCGGACTCTTGCGCCAGCTCGGCGACCTCGCCGAGTTAGTTTCTTCTTCTTATTCTCCGTCTTTCGTTCCTTCAATCTCTATCTCTCTTTTCAGTTCTTTGATTTCGTGACTCTGATTTTCTGTGGTTGCGTTTAGTTCAACGAGTGTCGAGTTTGAGAGAGGAGAAAAAAAAAAGAAGATAAAATAACTAGTGGAATTTTTAGTTCTCAGCTGGAGTGAGCTTAATTTAGCAAGGATGTGTGGTTTTTGGATTTCGTTCGCGAGCTGGATCGAGGAGTTGCTTCGGAATTGGAAGATAGTGTAGATGCTTAATTCGGTGGTTGTGTTATTTATGGTTAATTGGTTATTAATTGATTAATTAGTTAGTTCATTTATAATTTAAGGTTGTTGTTGTTGTTGTTGTTGTTTTTTTTTTTTTTTTTTTTTTTTTTTTTTTTTTTTTTTTTTTTTTTTTTTTTGTGCTATTGAGCTTTATATGCGTAGAGTTTTGAAGTGAAAAAAAAATAAAAATAAAAGGAAATTGGACGGCTGTAGTGCGGGGATTGGTTTAAATTGTGGAATTGTGAAGGTGTTGGGTGATGTTGTGTGGACTTATAGTTTCTATTTGTTGCTTTAAGAGTGACGAGTGAGATTGAATTGGTTTGAATTTGATTGACTGACCGTTGACTGCAAATCTTGGACTAATGAAGTTCCTGATGATAGGTTTTGGCTAGATGGTAGTCAATTTGAGAAGGGTAGTTATTTTGCTTAAATGAGATTTGGCTGTTGAAGAAGTATGTTTTGGTTTTTGATGTTTTTGAGTGTTTGATGATATTTTAAAATAGGATGTATTTAGGGGGTGCAATTTAGTATACCATTCTATAACTGAGTAGAATTTCAGAACATAGTTAACGTGATTTTTCCTTCAGTGAGTATTGGATTGTGTTTTAAACCTTAATTATAGGATCTGCTACACATGGAAAAATTAGCACCTGAGCTCACTCTTGGTGTTTTAATCATATGAATTTGGCTCGAATAATTAGAGTTGTCATAGCGACATGCTGTATCACGTAGTTGATCTCTTTGAGGTTAGTTCTATTTGGCAGGGTTCCAATTGTACCAGGATATCTGAACTTTGAAGTTGGTTTCCTGACCTTTTTTAGCACTGACAAAAGTTGGGAGTTTTTTCTGTCACTAGGTGCCATCAAGTTCTCTATATTTAACTATTTCATTCTGGTCAGGTTTGCTGCGGAGATCTTCCATGATTTACATGAAGAAGTAATGGCTACTTCTGCAAGAGGCCATGGTCTTATGGCTCGTGTTAAACAGCTTGAGGCTGAAGTTCCTTCACTTGAGAAGGCTTTCTTTTCTCAAACTCATCATTCGTCATTCTATACTAATGGAGGTTAGATTTCACTTCACAGAGTCCCATTGTGTGTAACTTGTGATTGTTGTCGTGATTTAAATACTATTAATATTTTAGAATGCTGGAATTTTGGTTTAAGTTGTAGCCTTCAAGTGTATTTGTCCCTTTGCCAATTTTAACATACTTGCATATTGCATTGTAGGGATTGATTGGCATCCTAATCTACGGTCTGAACAAAATCTTGTGACCCGTGGAGACTTACCTCGATTTATAATGGATTCATATGAAGAATGTCGTGGTCCCCCAAGACTGTTCCTTCTGGATAAGTATGAGTCAATTCATCAGACATATGAGTAGAAAATCATTACCACGTTATAGATGTTTGAAAATTTTCCTTTTGGCTTCTTTGAAGGTTTGATGTAGCTGGTGCTGGGGCATGTTTGAAGCGTTATACTGATCCATCATTCTTTAAAATGGAGACTTCATCTGTAACTGCTGCAGTAGAAGTTCAGAGGGAAAAGAGGATTCGTAAAGTGAAGGTACAAAATTTCAATCCCACCTTTTATTTACAGTTTTTACTGGAAAATTGTTTTAAATGCATGATCCTGATTGGCTTCATGTTATGCATTATTGGTTGGAATCTTGCTGCAAATTTGTAAATTATTTGAGGTTCACATACTGCCTTTGATCCATAGATATAATGATATATGACCACATAAGATACAAGACAACTGTTTAGCACTGTTTTTTCTTGATTATACCAGGGTTGTTATACTCTGTAATCGCCATGGCAAAAAATTCTATGCAATGGAAAATTGAATATTTACATAATTGAATATATATAATTTCTTCCATTCATTTCCAGCTGAAAAAAGGAGCGCGGCTGAGGGATGGTGAAGCCCCTAATGCAATATCATCACATACAAAGTAAGTTCCAATAGTTTTATGGCTAAATTATATTTTTAATCCTTCTATTTATTTTTAGGATTCAATTTAGTCCCATTATTTTTAAAAGGTTGAATTTAGCCCTTAAATTTTCATAAAATGTTCAATGTTGTCCTTTTGTCCAAATTGATACTAACGACATTAATGAAATTAGGGGAAAGGGCAACATTAAACATTTTTTTGAAAATTAGATGACCAAATTGAACATTTTAAAAATAATAGGATCAAATTGAACATTTTAAATGATTCAATTTGATCACTAATTTTTAGACGATGTTCAATGTTATCCTTCCATTGAACTTCATTAACGCCGCTAATGTCTATTTGGACGAAAGGATAACATTGAATATTTTTAAAAAATCAGATAACCAAATTGAACCATTTAAAAATAGTGGGACCAAATTAAATCTTAAAAATAAATAGAGGGACCAAAAGTATAATTTAGCCTAGTTTTGTTGTGGTAATTAATTCTGTCTTATTATGGTTTTTAGTGATGATTGGTGGCTCAACTTAATTTCCATCTTTGCAGATTACATCAGCTGCTTCTTGAGGAGCGGATTGAGAATGGTTATAGTAATCCTGCACGTCTAGTAAAGTTGAAGAAAAGACAATTGAATGGACCAGCAGTTGAACAAAGAGCTGGGAAGAGTTACATGGAGAAATTTCTGGAAACTCCCTCACCTGATCATAAAATGATTTGTGAAACTTCAATCTTTCCATTGCCTGTGAAATTGACATCAGAAGATACTACTGAGGCTGGGATTAAAATTCTTGAAATCAGTAGCATTAGTCCTGTGAAGAAGTCATTTGGAAATAAAAACACTTGTTCATCTCCTAATGAGCAGGAAGTAGAATTAAAGCCATATTCAGAAATGGATGACGGGGCAAATCAAGATCTTGTGAAGGTGAAAGAACAAATCTCAGCTGGTATGCCAGATAATATATCTTCCAATCATCTTAATTTGCCTGATGAACCAGAATTGGCTATCGATGAACAGAAGAAAATAGAAGGCAGCTTAGATGGGTACCATTCTGATGACGTGACTAGTGAAGTTGACAATTACATGGATGCTTTAACTACCATGGAATCAGAATTGGAAACAGACAATGAGTATAAACCTAAGAATAGTTTCTTGAATGTTCAAAAGGCAGCAAATACCAGTGATAAAGAAGAACATCAACTACAAGCTCAATTTTCAGATTCTCAATCATTTGGAGACTCCTCGATGTCTGATGACACCAGTTCTTTCAAACAAGGTAGAAATGAAGTACATATTGAAGTGCAAGCTCAGTCATTAGATTCTCAATCAACTGGAACCTCCACTACATTAGACAATAATAATTCATTCAGAAGAGATGGAGATGGGCAGCATATTGAACCTCAAGCTCACCTCTCAGATTCTCAATCTGTTGGAAACTCCTCTACATCAGACGAAAATGGTTCTTTCATGAAAGATAGATCCTATTTCCCTCACTCTGATTCGTTAAGCACTGTAGTTGAAAATACACAATCAGAAACTGTATTAATAACAAATACCAAGTATTATCAACCGGAGGATGAAGATACACCATCCAACCAGCTTCCCCAAAATGTGGAGTTTCAAAACACAGATTGTGGGAGGTTTGTCATGCATGATGATGCACATGGTCACGAAGAAGAGATTTCTGATTTGGGGCAAGCCACTTCGGATCTGATGACTTCAGGGCAAGCATTGTGTTCTGATCTTGGATCCACCTCACCAGTGATCCTACCTGCAGGAACTCAATTGGATGAAACTCCATCTGGCCCTGTTGAACTTGATTTAAGATTAGATGATGATGATGCAGACAGATCAGGTCTTGTTGAAGCTATTGCTCCCGAAGCTGTTTCTCTCTCCCTAATAAAAGACGAAGCTTGCCCTGTGGATTCTTCCGATAAAACATTGTTTGAAAAATTGGATGGCGACGATCCATTTATTCACTCTGATGATTTGTTACAAGTTTCTAATGATTTGGAATTGGAATTAGCTCATGGTGATGAATGTAGTGATCATTCTAAAATCAAAATGTTCCAGGCAGAGCCTCCCAATGAAAACATTTCTGAAATTTTGGTTAATAGAGGTATTGGTTCACAAGGAGATGATCCTGTTTGCCCATCCATGGAAGAATTAAACATGAATTCAGGTGCTATGCTGGCTCTTGATTGTCGAGACTCAAAAGATGAAGATTGTGCTATAGCAACCCATCTTAAGTCGGAGACTCCTGTTGTAAAAATTTCTCCAGAGAGTTGCTTTACTGGGGAGCTATCCTCTGATTCAACTCATAATACACAGGAGGAACCAGGCTCAGCAGAAATTGACGTTTCACATTCTGATCTGCAATCAAAATTTGAAGAGATACCAAAAATGGTGCATGATGATGAATTAAATGAATCCACCTGCAGTGTTGATCCACTTGAAGATGATGGTCATTTTAAACATCCATCTCCTGATAATCATGTGATAATAAATGATCTGGTCACTGAAAATGTTCAGTCAGAAGATCAAGCTGTATATTCTGTTCCTTCTGTTGATAGTGCTGAAAATGATATGGGTATCGTTACTTGTCCAGCTTCAAGTCAGATTTGTTCTTCTTCAAGGGTTCTTTCAGATTCGGAAGAACCTCTGTCGAGTTCTGATTCTTATCAGATGGAAATGAAATCTGATGTAGAACTCTCTCAAATTTCCATGGACTCAAATGCAGAGAAGAAGGAGAATCAACTGGAACCATCCTTAGATGTAACATCATCAGATGTCATATATTCTCCGATTAGTAATATTAACAAGTTAGAAGAATCTCTTTCTACTTTTGCAGATCCACACAAGAAAGAGATGGAAGTTGATGAGCCAGTTGCTAGAGAATCTTTGACAGAACTAGATGAACAGAAGATAGTGGATCAACCAAAAATTGCTTCTGAGGATGTACAATTGAACCTGAACAAATTGGTGCCCTGTGATCTTCCAGATTCAAAAATACGCAATGATACTAACAAGTTAGAAGAATCTCTTTCTACTTTTGCAGATCCACACAAGAAAGAGGTGGAAGTTGATGAGCCAGTTGCTAGAGAATCTTTGACAGAAGTAGATGAACAGAAGATAGTGGATCAACCAGAAATTGCTTCTGAGGATGTACAATTGAACCTGAACAAATTTGTGCCCTGTGATCTTCCAGATTCAAAAATATGCAATGATATTCAAAAGTCATCTCCAAGGGAGAAATTCCAACATAATGCTTTTGTTGACTCAGAATTGGTGCCTGAAATTTCGGAGTTAGATACCCGGCAATCGGAATCAGTTATTTATGGCCAGCATGATCCTTTACAAAATGACAGAGATAGTTTTTCATCACCTTCTGGCAACCTGTTGGAGTCTGAAACTGATTCTGAGTTTGCAAAATCTCAAACTGGGGAACAGGATGTAGAATTCCTTGTCAGAGATGAGAAAAACTTGGGCTCTGAGAAATCCCAATATCAGCAGATGCAGATATATCAACTGGAGCAAGAAAGTGCTCATGCTACTTCCGAATGTGTATCAGAAATCCATGCAGATGAGCCACCAGTATTTCTTCCCTTGCCGCAGTCATCTAGCCAGGAGATTAATGCTGCAAAACATGTCATGGATCCATTAAAACCTCTTCTACCCAACCTTCTTCCCAAGGCAACTGAAAATAATATTGATGAGATGCCCCCTATGCCCCCTCTACCGCCTATGCAATGGAGAATGGGCAAGGTTCAACATGCTTCCCTAGCAACACAAAGTGAAGAGTTAGAATCAACTCAGGCTTCAGTCCTGCCAATGCAGCCGACTAGACCTGATAAAAATTCTCTATTTGGTTTGCCAACTTCTGAGAGCGAGACCTTGTTGTATCAGAATCCATTTTTGCCAGTCATGGCTGTGGAAGGTGATAAGCTTCAACATTCTTCTGGGTTTTCTGTTGGTGTTTCTGGGCATCCTGTTGCTATACCTTTTCAATTGCCTATCATGGTTAATGAATCAAATGGTCAATATAATTACCTGTTGCTGGACAGAAACCAAATTCAAAACCCCTTCTTAACATTTCCTGTGGCATCTACTGGCATTCCTCCTCATAATTTCATTGTTGCTCCTGAGGGAGAAATGATGCAGAATTCAAACCCGCATGTGCCAATACCAGCTGTTACATATGCTGTTTCAGGACATGACTTCATCTCTCCACTAGAAAAATCAACTCAACTGCCACATCAGTCAATGATGGAGACTAGTGGAGATGATAAATCACTTCAGCAGGGTATGAGCAATAATATGGTATCTATGGAAAGGCTTCCACATGGTCATGCAGTTGCTTCTGAGGGAAAAATGGTACTGAATTCAAATCCATGCCCAACAATTCCATGTTCTGTTTCTGGACATGATTCCGACTCACTGCAAGAGAAACTGACTCAACCTCCAAGTCAATTAACGACAGAGCCTAGTTCAGATGATAAAACACTTGTGCAGTCTGCAACTAATGTGGTATCTTTGGACAGTCCTCACAGTCATATTGCTTCTGAGGGAGAAATGGTATCAAATTCTAACCCAGACCCAATTCCACCTGTTGAATGTGATGTTCCTGAACCTGTACAGGATTCTATCTCTTCTCAAGAAAAACTGACTCAACCTCAGTTAGTGTTAGAGACTACATCTGAAGTTAAAACACTTGATCAGTCTATAAGTAGTGCGGAAGGGGAACAAGGACGTCTGCCTATCTCATTCATGTCCTCACCACACATGGAATGTATGGAGCCTAATCAGAGTTTCCTGTCCTTTGAGGGGGGAATGGCAACATCCGCGGATACATCAGATCATACATCAGATGTTGAGAGTGAAAGGACAAATGGAAAACCAAAGAATAAGCTTCCCCGTCCTCGGAATCCTCTAATTGATGCTGTTGCTGCTCATGACAAAAGCAAGGTGAGGCAGTTTCAAATTCTTATACGACACTGAATATCCTATTGAGGTCTTGATTCTTGCATAACACTTTGCCTTTGAACTACTGCAGCTTAGGAGGGTTACTGAACGAGTTATGCCTCAAATTGCACCAAAGGTAGATGAAAGAGATTCTTTACTAGAACAGATAAGAACAAAGGTTAGAGCTTGCAACTTTTGTTTCTTTATGCTGATCGTACCCTTCTGCATTCAAAACGTTCCCTAATTTAAAAAATACTATGTTTTTGGTTCTCTCAGTCCTTCAACTTGAAGCCTGCTGTGACTACGCGACCTAGTATTCAAGGTCCAAAAACAAATTTGAAGCTTGCTGCCATCTTGGAGAAAGCAAATGCAATTCGCCAGGTTTCTATTACATTCTATCTTTTTTATTCATTTATTTATTATTATTATTATTATTTTTATTTTTATTTTTAATTCAATAGGTGTGTCCTCCTTTCTTTTTCTGTCTCTCAACAGCTATACTCCCTTTCTTCAAGGTCCACTAATATGTTAATTATTTAAATAGGCTTTGGCTGGAAGTGATGAAGATGATGAGGATTGGAGCGATTCTTGAATTTACTATGAGAAGTGTTCTCAGCTGGTCGATGTTTTGATATTCCGGTTGTCTTGAGCCAGGTCTATAAAGTCATTCTCCCCTGTAATGAATAGGAAATCTCCCTTAAATGCAAGATTCTTTATTCTACACTATGTTCATATATGATACTCTGAACTCCATATAGGATATAGCTCCCTTAGTCTGCTTTCTTCACATATATATATGTATGAGCACTGGTACTAGCATGCAGATTAGCACTGGTGCAGATCCATTTTCGGAGGCAAAATTCACTTCATTTGAGACAACTCAGGTTCAGCGTGTAAGCGCTGTACAAGTCCAGATCAAGCTATCAACAAATTTCCCCATGCCTCCGGCTCATATAAGCACATGTATATTTGCGTTGTGTCATAATTTTTTTGATATATAGTCATGAGTATCCAATTTTGTAATTCTGTGATGTAGTGTTTCGTGATAATTGCCCCATTTATCATGTAGGTTCATCGTTGTCCAGTATAGTAACATATATACGTAAGTAAAATCATTTCAGTGTACAGTTTCCATCAGCACCTTTGATCATTGTTCACTCTCTCTTCATTACTGTTCTTGTCATATATTAGCAAGCAAATTGGAAACCTGGCGTGGTAATTAAAGTGATACTAAGGATGTCAACAGACCTGCTTCTGGTATCTACATTGTTGCCAAAGTCACAAGTTTTGGTGGGTTTTACGTCTTTATGATTTTGCGATTTGGGTATTTTACATAGATATTTGGTTTTGAAAGATTTATAAAGCTGGTTCGTTGAGACTTGAGAAGGAAAGGAGTATTGATTATTTACGGTCATTTTAAAAATATTTTACTGTTTTTTTAATAAAGTTATAATTATTTCAAAAAATGTTGCTTGCTTGCAAATACATGAGTAAGCAATAAATTATGCCGCATCTGCTACAGCGCTCGAAGCGCAGGTGCCACATTGTTGGACTGCTTTCATTTTTTCAACTTCTAAGCACCGCATCATAAATTAAAGGCACAGTCTACATCTTGTGAATCACCGACCAATTATTTATTATTCTTTTGGGCTGTTGGGCCTTATTTATTTATTTCTATTATTTTTATGGTTTTACTAACATCATCAATGTTAAGGTTGGTATAAAAGATAGTTATTTACAATGATTTTTATATTTTAATGAAATAAATATATTCTTAATAGGAAATTTTATACTTTTGTATTCTTAACATACTCATAGGATTTTTTTTTTGGACACCACTCATAGTATTGATGTTAAAATTACTAATATGTTTTATTTCTAATTTTTGAAAGTTACTTTTATTTTCAAAAATTACTTATAATTTATATTTTTATACAACTTATTTTTAAATATTGATAATTTTAAAAAATATTAAAATTAGAAATAAAGATGAAAATAACATCTTAAAAGAAATTTGAAGTTATTAAAAATATTTAAAATTGTTATTATTGAAAAAAAATTTAAAAAACTTTTTTTAAATAATAAAAAAAAAATGGGTGATGCACTCAAAGTTCAAAGTGTAAAGTAATTTTACATTGCTATTCATTTATAAATTGTCTTCTTTAATAAGTTGTTAATTTTTATAATAAATAATTAAAAAGTTATTATGAAAGTCTGATTAGTTGATGGTGTAAAATTATTTTACATTATCAATGTATAATTATTAAACTTAAATAATAATTTTTAAAAATACTATTATTTTAAAATAATTATTCTAATTTATATAAAAAAGAACGTAGAAAATGAATATAATCATCCAAAGTAAATAAATTAAATTAGTTCAAATTTATTTAAGAGTTTAATATTTTTACTTTAAATTTGAATCAAACTAATTTAGTCTATTTAAATATTGGATTCATTTTATTTATTTATTATTATTATTATTATTAACTCGAACTTTCCACGATCAATTCTTTTTTAACTTTCTTCTCAACTTTGGTGAAATTTTCTCCTGTTGTTGTCTTGTTTTTTTTCTTCATTCAATTTGATCTTCTTAAAATCTTATTTAGTTTAGGCTTAATTTAGTCATATTTAATATACATTTTTTAAGTACATTCTTAGTAAAAAAAATTAATCAGAAATATGAATCGATAATTATTGAAAATTAAATATTAAATAAATTAAATATTTATATATTAAAAAATAAAAAATTATTATTCATGATGATGTAATCCAAAACAATAAATTTATCAATATTGATTGACACAAACTGTAGTGACTTGTGTTTTTTAATCAAGATATTTAAGGTTTAAATCTTGACCTTAGGTATAAAATATATTATGTTGAAAAGAGAATACATATCTTATATGTATTTATGGTCTCTAACAAAAATTAGCCATTATTTTTTGTGGTGAATATTTCGTACTAATATCATGATTACAACAAAAAATAATAATAAATTTGTTTAAATTGCCTAAAAAATAATCATCATTATGTAGCAAGAGTTAAAATAGTATGCATAAAGTTTAAATCTTGTTACTATCATTAAAACTTTTCCTATTGATAAAATGAAAATCAATTAACATCTCACCCTACCAAGTTACAATTACTTTTTTTCTTTTTCAGTATTGCTAGTTATATTATTGGTGTAAGTATAATTCATATTGTATAGATGACTAATTTTTAGGAAATTTGATTTACTACCTTTAACGGTGTTTGGTACAATAAATGTGTATTTTTCCATGAATTTGGTGTTGAAAAATATAGTTTCTCATGTTTAATTTATTAATTAAAAAATAAAACTTATAAGAAATATTATTTTTTAGAACTTGTTTTACACACTTTTCATGAAGGTGAGAATCTAGCGTGGCTGAATTGAATTATTACGGTAAAAATGTCATGTTAACTCATTGATTTATATAAATATTCTTAATAATATTTATGATTAATTAAACATTTTAATTGAACCATTAGGATTGATCAAGTGGTTAGGAGTTGAAGTAGAATGCACAGAGTTTTAGATTCAAATTTAGTGTCGTAATTGTAATTCAGATGATAAAAAGAATACATTTTCAAGAATAATAGAGATTTCCCTTATACCAAATGCTCCCATACAGTTTTTCTATAATTTTTTTTATCTACGATCTAAAGTTAAGAATGTTTCTATTGAGACGTTTAATTTCTTATATTTAGTATATTAGTTAAAAATAACATTCCTATTAAATATAATTTTTTGAAAAGAAATTTTACACATTTCTCACAAAATTGTTATAATGAAGGTAGTGAGAATCTAACATTATTTAACATTCCAAAGTTAAAAGGAAAATTTTAGTATGATAAGAAAATAATAACAAAAACTCATGTTAAAAAGATAACAAAATAATTGATTGCTCATCTGTGAAGATACCCCTAATAGATAACAAGTTTAAAAATATCGTATTATTTTAGTTTGTTTATTTGATGTAGTAAAAATATTTAATTTCTAAGTAATATTAGTATTTTATCCTGTGATTTTATAGGTTAAGTATTTTTTTTGTATAAATAAATTTTATAAAGAATTATATATACAAATAAATATTATATTAAAATATATAAATTATATTTAAAATTTGTATAAATAGATATTTTTAAATATATAAATTATATTTAATTTAAGAAAAATAATTTATATTACTGCACATAATTTTTTAAATTATTCATAATTTATTTTAAAATATTAAATTTTCATTCATAAATAAATATAATAAATAAAAAATTAAACTTGATAAGAAGGTACTTAAAAATCCTTCTATAAAAAAATAGTTTTTAAAAATATTCCCGTACAAGTTAACCTTTTATATTTAATATATAGAAATTAATTTATAAATATTTTTAAAAATACTTATGGTTAATTAAACAAATTTTAACCATTTACAAAAAAATCATGATTTCATGATTTCCGAATTTATAATTCAGGATATGAAAAAAGTTTCTCTACCAAATGCACCCCGAAAGATTTCTCCCAAGTTACATATAATACTCTAACTTATATTGCAGCTGCTATTCAACGAAACTGTATATTATTCTATTACTTTGGTCAGAGGAAAACTGTCTTATTTGGTGTCCATTTATTATTATTTTATTTATTTGTTTGTATCATTGATACAATGATACTCATCATCATATAGACACATTAATGACAAAAACTGCATGTTACTTGCTTTAGATAACCGTTGTGAAACTAATGGTCAAAAGGGGTGAGTGGCAGAAAATTTTGATATGGAAGAAGCCATCATATTGAGCAGAGAGCCTCTCCTTGCTCAACAAGAAGAAACCCCATCTTCTCTAATCAATCATTTGTATATTGGTCACTTCTTAGCTAGATGGGGTGCCAGGTTCTTCTTTCACCTCTCACCACTCACCACTGATTTGATTTTGATCATTTAAACGAATAAATGTTATTCATATGTCACTACTGGTTCCTGTGCTTAATTGATTTCATTTTTACAAAATTAGAAAAGTTGTGCCTTTTATTTTTATCTTTATTTTATTTTATTTTTTTATAGTTTTTAAAATCTCCTTGAATAGGATGATGAGTTTATGCCATATTACCTAAACAGATGAAATGAAAAGAAATGGTGGCTATGTATGACTAGTAGGATGAAACGCATTCGTTGCCTTCGAAAAAATATTAGTGCTTTTGACGGTTAATTAATTAGTAATTTTTCGAATCATTTATAGTTTTTTTAAGGTAGTTAGCTAAAGGATAAGACATCACTTTTATTATTTATAGTTTTTTAAATCTCCTTGAAGAGGATAATGGATTTGCCGTATTACCAAATCAGATGAAATGAAATGAAGTGGTGGTTATATATGACTAGTAGGATGAAACTCCGTCGAGAAAATAGCACTTATTTATTTATTTTATAGTTAATTAATAAGTAGTTTTTTGAGTCGTGTAAAACTTTTTTAATACAGTTAACTAAAAGATAAAATAGAAAAATAAATTGTGAACACAAAAAATGGTATCAATTTTATTATTGGTATAAACTATGACCAATCTAAATGTATCAATTACACTTGCTTAATTCAAGCTGAGAAATAGACCACGTTGGATACAATATACTTGCACAGAAGGTGGTTAGGAGAGTTAGTTAGGATCACTCTGTCTTAGGTTGAGTTGAGATTTGAAAAATCACTGTAACAAGTTTCAACATTGCATGGGTTACACTCTTTTATTTGATTTGTTTGTTTTTAACTAGTCAAATTCAGTGAGCATCTTTGTTTGCAGGATGTGGGAATTCTCTGTTGGTTTGTATATGATCAACATTTGGCCAGATTCGTTGCTGTTTGCAGCAATATATGGTTCCATTGAATCTGCCTCCGTTGCAGTGTTTGGTCCCATAGTTGGAAGATGGGTTGATAAGTTGTCTTATGTGAAGGTATGCCTCAAGTAAAGGATTAATTAACTAGTACTTCAGTTTAATGACCTGTAAAGCTTTGGTATCCTTTTACTATTGGTTATCTATTAGGAAAAAGAGACAAGGCTAAATTATAACTTTGGTTCAAAAAGATGATATTAAAATTTATTTTAGATCTATTTAAATAATCGGTTACCATTTATTCACACCAGATTTAATAGTGTTAAGCACAAGAGGGTTTGATAGGAAAAACATAATTTTGCATAAGATTGTGTGAGAATACAAAAATATCATTAGAATAATATATCCTACACTTGAGTACGGTCAAGTATAAATCATTGACATATTTTAACTGAAATAAAAAGTTCCTGAAACAGTGAGAATGAAATCCAAAATAACGTGTAGCTTTAGGTATTGCAATTTGCATCATAATTATGAAGGTCAAGGTGAATTTGATGAAGTAACTAAGTCAGCATAATTTATTGGCAGGTTTTGCAATTGTGGTTGGTGACACAAAATCTCTCTTTCGTCATTGCTGGGGCCGGTGTAATTGCTTTACTTGTAAACTCATCTTTGAAGCTTACAAATTTCTCAGCTTTCATATTGCTGGTGTTGGCAATCAATATCTGTGGTGGCATTGGTGTACTTTCAACTCTTGCCGGTACAATCTTGATTGAAAGAGAATGGTAATGTTCTTGAGGATCTAATGAGAAAAAAAAGAGTATATTCCTGAAAATATGTTCTGATTTTAGATTTCTAGTTGCTATTATACAGGTTGTTGGTTATATCTGAAGGCCAACCTCCAGAATTGCTTACAAAGATGAATTCAGTAACGAGACGCATTGATCTAACCTGCAAGCTTCTTGCTCCTGTTGTTACTGGATTCATAATAAGCTTTGTATCACTGAAAGCATCTGCTATAACTTTAGCAGTGTGGAATACTGTGTCTGTTTGGGTGGAGTATTGGCTTTTCACATCTGTGTATAATGGGATACCAGCTTTGGCCCAAAGTAGCCAAAGGAGGATGGCAAGACTTTCACAATGTGATCAGCAAATGAACAATCCAACTTTGGAGGAAGATAGCTTGCTTCCTGTTACTGATGGTAGCTCAAAATTGGCAGATAGAAAATGGAGTAAAAAAATTTCTGAGATGATTTCAGAGATTCCTTATATTGCTGAATGGAAAGTTTATTTACAGCAAGAAGTTGCGCTTCCTGGACTTGCTCTGGCTTTGCTATTTTTCACTGTACTCAGGTGAGAGCCTACAAACAATTATAGCAAGTAAATATTACATGAAAAAGAAAGAAAAACTAGTCTGAATTAGCTTTTTCCACTAATGACTAAAATCTCCAGTTTATTTAGGAAAAGATAAGAAGGCTTAGACATGTCACATTTATGAAGGATTTTCCATGACATTTTCATTCAAGTGTTTAGAAGCTTTTTCATTAAGCAGTACTATTCTTTGTACATACAATAAAAAAAAGTTCCAAATTAGCATATGCTAGTGGAGTATATTATACTCATTAGACAAAGTCATTCAGAAACTTTTATTCTAAACACATTAAGAGTATATCTTGCATTTCTTTAGCTGTCAGTTGGGTGTAACGAGTCACTGATGAATTCCAATTATTTTCCTCAGCTTTGGAACTTTGATGACAGCCACCTTAGAATGGGAAGGAATACCTGCATATATTATTGGAATAGCAAGAGGAATAAGTGCAGTGATTGGAATAGCTGCAACAGTTGTATATCCTGTGCTACATTCTCATATATCATCTATTAGAACTGGACTTTGGTCTATATGGTCTCAGGTATGAACTTAGTAATGTCTCAAAAGTGTTGTGTATAAATGACATGAGTGCTAGTCAAATATTCAATTTTCTTTGTACACTGCAAAATATGTATTATTGATATAGCATATAGGATATTTTTCTTAACAGGTTAATCCTATTTTCCATTGATCTTTGTTGTTGTTGTTTATGTATGTTGTTCATGCAGTGGACTTGCCTCCTTCCATGTGTAGCTGCAATATGGATTCAAAATAGTTTTCTGTCATCATATATTCTGATGGGAAGTGTAGCCATATCTCGTCTTGGACTGTGGATGTTTGACTTGTCTGTACTTCAACAAATGCAGGCAAGAAATAATCCTTATTATATGAAGTTATTTAAAATTTTCCTATTTTTTTTTAACAAATATGATATCTAGATTTTGATGTCTTTGAATCTATGATTAATCACAAAAATTCTCTTTCTTAATAATTATCTTGGCCTGACTTTTCTTTTATTCATATTTTTGAAATAGGATCTTGTTCCTGAATCTGATCGTTTGATTGTTGGGGGTGTTCAGAACTCACTTCAATCATTGATGGATTTATTGGCCTATGTTATGGGAATCATAATATCTGATCCACGGGTGAGTTACTGAGTTTTTAAAACTATAACATTCATGTCCAACCCAAATATGTATGTTTTTTTATTCTTGCTACTTATAAGTCTTCCTTTAGGTTTTTGATAAATTACTTTCTGAATATCTCTTCAATTTTCAACTTTTGAAAGAGTAAACTCTAATTTTTTTTTCAACATCAAATTATTATATCAAACAAAGGCATCCCTAATTAATCTAATTATTACAGTTGAAAATTTATCACCTCCAACATTACAAAAACTATCACATTATTACTTACTTTGGCCACACAATTTTTTTCTTTATAGTACCTCCATAGTGTATAGTGAAAATTTTCCATCTATTGTGAAAAATGCCTTTGTTTTTGATGCTAAACAAAATCAAATTGTGTTGATCATGATTCTTTTTTATCTTCTTGTCTGTTCAGGACTTCTGGAAGTTGACTTTGTTATCAGTTCTGGCAGTCACACTAGCTGCATTCCTCTACAGCATCCATGTATATAATGTGCGGAAGCACATCTTTCACTTTGAGCGTCTTAAGTGGGATGAATGTTTTTTAAGATTAAGAGCATCTTAAGTTCTAAGAAAAAGTTTTGTACCGTTTATATATATATATTGGTTATGGAGTGATAGTGTTTGGTCTAATGGCTGGAATTGTCAACAATCATCCTTCTTTTAAGAGCATTAATTCTTCTTACACAATAATTGCCCTCTCAATAAATGAGACATTGGATTTGACTTGTCTGTACTTCAACAAATGCAGGCAAGAAATAAACCTTATACTCAAATAAGAAAAAGAACATTAAACAATGTCTATCCTTACTTTAAACCATATATGTTAAGGATCTAAAAATTTTCAAGTTCACGACATTCTTGGAATTAAAACTAAAGAAACACTCTTGTACCATCCGTACCACTAAGCCGAGCTCAAGCTCGGCATCACAACACGGATTGACATCGGACACGTGCTGTGTAACATCCCAATTTTCAAAATGGTAATTACTATTATTTTTTTAATAGAACAATTTTAGTCTCTCAAATATCATAATTGTGCGAATTTAGTCTCTCCTATTAAAAATTTAATAATTTTAATATATATATATATATATATATATATAGTGTTTTAAAATGATACAATTAT